CATATACATTTTTAAGAAGACCGGTATAGGTTTTTACAAAAAGGTATGTAATTCTTTAAAGTTTGGATATGCATTTTTGAAAGATTTTGTTAGATTTGTTTTTAAAATGTTGCTGGATTCTTTTCAAATTTTGGTAGATTTTTTAAAAAATTTGGTATATTTTTTAAAAAAAATTGGTAGATTTTTTTTAAAATTTTTACATTTTTTTTGAAATTTTTTATATTTTTTTTAAAATTTTTATAGATTTTCAACAAAATGGCGATCCAGTTTGAGTCCAGTTTGAGTCCAGTTTGAGTCCAGTTTCATACAAACTGGATCGCCATGGTTGAGTTTCATATGAAACTAAACCATGGTGGTTGAGTTTCATATGAAACTCAACCATGGCGATCCAGTTTGTATGAAACTGGACTCAAACTGGACTCAAACTGGACTCAAACTGGATCGCCATTTTGCTGAAAATCTATAAAAATTTTAAAAAAAATCTAAAAAATTTTAAAAAAATGTAAAAATTTTAAAAAAAAATCTACCAAATTTTTTAAAAAATATACCAAATTTTTTCAAAAATCTAGCAAAATTTTAAAAAAAATCTACCAAGTTTTTAAGGAAAAAATATAGATTGTTCTGAACAAATGGATCGATGTTTTTGTAAGAACAATATGGAAACTTTAGATGTATTTAAAGCTATAAATCAACTTATCAAGCCCATTTTGCTTAAAAGCCCTGGTCCCCTAAAAAAGGCGCTTTTACAAAACATAAACAATACATCGAATATACATAGGTTATGGAAACTTTATGTATGTATACATGTCTATATATATAAATACATAAATGCAGATATGTCTATGTATCTATACATAGCTAGAACACATTGTAACATACACACTATGTATATACAGACATATATATATATGTCTGTATGTGTATGTATATATACACAAGTGTCTGTGTGGGTGCTGGTATGTTTACATGTAACCCAAACCCCCAGAAAGACCAGAAGCTGAACCCTAAACCCTAAACCGTGCCCCTAAACCCCTGAACTTAGCCCTAAACCCTTAAACCCCCCTAACCCTATAAGCCCCTAAACCCTAACCCCCAAACCTAAACCCAAAACCCAAAGCCCTGGAGCCCCAAAGCCCAAAACCCCTATAAACCCCCTTCTCCCCCGCAGGCCAACACCCACAGAACCCCAACACCTATATAAAATGCTAAAGAGCTTTGACCCACATAAATCCCAAAGCCACAATAAACACTCTGCCCCGGAACCCGAAGCCCCCTGAAACCACCGACCTTCAACCCCAAAATCCCCCAAGCTTACACCATCAAGTATGTCTCCCAAAGAGCTACCAATACAACCCCAAACCCCCAGAAAGCACGAACCCCTAAACCCCTGGACCTGCAAGCTTAAGCCCACAAAGCCAGACTCCTTAACCCACCCTCGCAAACCCGCACCTAGCTGACCCGGGTACCTTTTAGAAGTTTGCTACGTGAAACTATTTAGTCTTATGTTACAAACATGCAAGAAATCTAAGTAGCAGATGTTGCTAAGTCACAAATCTACGTACAACGAATTTTAGGTACAAAGGATCCAGAAGTAACCCACCCCAAGTATCAACCAAAACTATGTAGCAAGCTAAACGGAAGTTTCAGTACATCTAAGTCACATCTAGCAACTTGAAACCGAATCTAAGTCTCATAACAAGGCTAAGTAACGAGCAGAAAATAAAGTTCTATCTAGCAAATTGCAGTAGAACTAAGTCACAACAAGACGACACTTATCTCACAGCGAAAATCTAGTATCTAAGTCACATCTTGGAACTTCGAACCGAATCTATGTCACATATCAAAACTAGGTAGCAGAAAGAATAAGCAGCTTCCTCTAGCATATAGCAGCACGTAACTATGTCACAACTAGGACACGAGGCAATCTAAGTCACAGAGAAAATCTAGGTAGCAAGGAAATTTTCTAAGTTACCAAACAAAGCTTCGTAACAAACTTCTATGTTTCGAGATTTCCTTTTCCAGGTTGCACTGTGTAGTGTGCTTCCTAATAAAAATAAGGCAATCTAAGTCACAGAGAAAATCTAGGTAGCAAGGAAATTTGCTAAGTTACCAAACAAAGCTTCGTAACAAAATTCTATGCTTCGAGCTTTCCTTTTCCAGGTTGCACTTTGTAGTGTGCTTGCTATAAAATAAAGTAACAGACAGAAGAGACCTTTAAGCTCTGACACATGGCAGGGACCCTGCCCATCCGAACATGCGATGCAGCTTTTGGGTGCTCAACACAGCAGCGAGCTGTAGCACCGTAGCCGTGGCCTCAATGGGGGTCATGAAGAAGCCTGCTGCAAAGAAGGCAGCCACTCTGCCGCCAGAGGTGACCGAGGCTTTGGAAGTGGTGCCAGGTGTGGAGCAAGAAGACGACCCGGCCGAGAAGCACGAGGAGGAGGCGGACAAGGAGGCGGACCAAGCAGACCCAGAGGGTGCAGAGGAGGAGGAGAACCTCGAGCCGGACGAGGAGGAGCCAAAGGCACCGTCCAAGCCCAAGGCCAAGGGAAAGGCCAAGGCAAAAGCAAAGGCCAAGGGAAAGGCCAAGGCCAAAGCCAAAACCAAGGCTAAGGCCAAAGCGAAGGCTGCCCCCACAGACAACCAGGAGAACAAGTCCGGGGGTGGCTCCGGGGGTGGCTCTGGGGGTGGAAAAACCTCCAAAAGCCTTGCCGAGAAGGCAAAGGGGTGGGCGGCCCAGTCCGCCACCGAGGACGAAGGCCGCGACCAAGTGAAGGCGAGAAAATATCGCAAGTTGTGTGACTCGGGTGCAATCCCGTCACACATACAAGAGGCGATAGAAAAATCGTCCAGCCGCTCCGGCAAGTCCAAGCTGATCAATGCCCTCTTCGTCAAGGATGGCAACGGCCAGCTCGTGATGAATCCCAAGGACCCGGTCTTCAGCAGCACCAAGACGGCGAGCCACGAGAACTACGGCAAGGACGAGCGACTCGGAAAGCCTCGCCACGTGTTTCTGTGGGAGACGTACCACGGAAACGAGTCCGCACTCCAGCAGGGCATCGACAAGGGTGCCGTGGACTGCTGGACAGTCGGCGGGGTGGAGATGTGCTCTTACCGCACACTCAAGAGTGGCATGGCGAAGAAGGTCTCGGACAACCACAACCTCCACGGCGGCGAGCAAAAGCTGAGCAAGGGCGCCTTCGGCGAGGTGAGTGCCGCCCTGGACGACCTTTCCTTCGACTTCGACGATGCCGGCTCCCATGCCATCTGCGATGTGGCCAGCTCTTCCGCCTCCGGCAGCAAGGCGGCCCAGAAGATGTTGGAGTCTGGAAAGCTCTCTGACAAGCAGCGGGCCGTGCTGGTGGAAGCGAAGGAAGCCGTGGACAAGCTTCACGGTACGGGCATGAAAATGGCCCAGAAGTGCAAGAGTGACGAGGATCGCTTGAACTTCAAGGCGGTTTTGCTCGAGCTTAAGGACTGGAGCCACAAGCAGGAGCATGCCCTCGCCTGGGATGAGCTGCCGTCCGGAGAAGCCATCTCTGAGCAGTCCTTCGCCGCCTTTGTCAAGGAGCAGGCCGCTGCGGTCACGACTTTGAACGAGAAGGTGGAGCAGTTCCGGGCTTTGTTGAAAACCCGCAAGGAGCTCTGAAAGAGCTCCTTTTCTTGGCCGTGTTGCAGACAAGGTGTTGCCTCTGTCTGTGTTTCTAGGTCCCTATAAAATTGAAAAGTTTTCTTCATGCCCCCATTTAATTGAAAGGTTTTCTTCTCATGTGTAAGAATGCTAGACATAGACGATGTAGGCTCTCACAGGGCTTCACAGACAGAGGCTTCTATCTTGCCTGCGGGCTTGTTCTAAGTAGCAAAGCCCCACCAGAGGGCCCGGCTCTAAGTAGCAAATCACCTGCGGCCGCCGGGAAGCAGAGCCCATAGACATCGGGTTTTCTGCATGGCCTTGTGCAGGTGTGCAGCTGCTGAGCGCTAGGGCCCCTCTCTGCCCCAGGCACCGAGAATAGTTCCACGAAGGCGGCTTCCTCGCAAAAAAGCTCTCACGACTCGTGTGAGGACCAGCAGCATGCAGCCGGTGATGTGCAGAATCTTGCAAGTCTTCAGCCTAAACCCCTCTGGAGCCACCTCCCAGTGAACTTTTCCTTTGCACAGCTTCTTTCTGGCCCTGCGGTAGAAAAAACCTAGGCAGGCTCACAACAGAAACATCCATTTGTGTATTCCTTTTTCTAATGCCCAATGGCCCTCAAATCTTGGGTGAAGATCCACATTTCGGTCTCTCTAATGGCCCCACAGATTCCCGGTGCACGGCTGCTACACAAGGTCTATAGGAAAACCGAGGCACAACACCCGTGAAGATCTATTCCTCTTTCTAAGGGCCCCGTCCCCGCAATCACAGTTTTCTGAGTAACACAATGGTCTCTTTAATGGCCCCACAGACGGCCGCTAGACAAGGTTTATAGGAAAACCGAAGCACCACACCCATGAAGATTTATTCCTCTTTCTAAGGGCCCCGTCCCTTCAATCAGAGTTCTCTATAAGTAGCAAAAAAGGGCCTTCTCTCTACGTAGCAATGACACCTCCCTGCAGCCATGGACGGCGAAGCAGAAGCTGCTCCCAAAAGACGACGAGTAGTGGTGGGTCAGAGACAGCGACTTGCCGCCGCCGAAGCTCAGCAGGACCAGCCGTCTGTTTCTGAAAGTTTTTTGGCCAAGGACCTGAAGGAAAGATGGTCTTGGGGCGATTTGTCTGTCCAGGCCATGCAGGCACTGGCTGCGAAGGCTGTCAAAGACTTCGAGAATTGTGGAGCAAAGGCCCCAACGGAGTTGCAAGCTCTGGCGAAGCTGGGTTCAGGCGGCATCCACCCTAACAACATGAGACGTGAGATCATGAAAATTACAGAAGTTGGTTGCAGATTGCCGCCTTTGCAGCGGACTGCTCTACAGTTCAAGCAGCCCTGGGGAAATCAGCCCCAGCTCATGATGCTGCCTCATGAGATGTTCTCCGCCTTGTACGAGAATTACCACGAAGCTTTCAAGCGGTACGTGGTGGCCGATGCGAATGTCTTGCAGGAGTTCTGGCGGCTACAGAAGAAGCACCCGCAGTTCAAAGACCACCCTGTGGTAAGCCAGGCTTCCTTTGAGCCTCGAAAGTTCGTGCCGCTTTCTTTACACGGCGATGGAACACCTGCAATAGGTGTCGGGAAGATATGGAGCCGAATGTTAACCACCTGGAGCTGGTGTAGCCTGGTTGGTGGTCCTGCCTGGACCAAGGATTCGCAACTGCCCATTTATTTCCTCTTCGATGAAACAGATGACGGCACAGCAGCGACTACCTTCCTCAGCATGCTGGCCTGGAGCTTCAAGGTGCTGCAAGAAGGTCTTTGGCCCTTTGCAGACCACAAGGGCAACCTGCACCCGGGATTGCATCATTATCTTTCTGGTTGGGGTCAAATCGGATAAAACTCATTCTCTTTCTAACAGAAGTAGAAACACGTCGCATAAGAGCTGAATGCCTTTTCTTTTCTTTATAAGTAAAAAGCCCAAGTCGAATGTGTAAAGGACGAAAGTTTCTATGTAGCAGCGAAACACTAGCGATAACCTCTTGTTTTTCTGTCTTATAAGCAACAAAATGGAATCCTAATCTCTTTCATGAGTCACAGGCAAGATGTGCTATCCAAAGTCTACTCACACATAAGCAAAGCTTCGCTCTAAGTAGCAACAAACTTTAAGTAGCAACTTTTGGTGGCAGACAATGGACTGTTCGAAGTAACACTTTTCTGTCAGCTTTCACACTGTCAGAGGTACCCGCCCACGAGCGACCTGGGCCGTAAGGCAGGATCGCCCTTGGCGGGGGGGTGGAAAGGCGTCATCTGGGCATTGGTCGGCGATCTTGAGTATATGGTCTCAAGATTGAACATGCCACATTTTGGCCAAAAGCACAACCCGTGCGGCCTTTGCAAATGCTCGGGCGACGAGACTTCCACCTCCTGGAGGAATTGCAAACCGACAGCGCCATGGCTCAGCATGCAATGGTCTTTGGCAGAGTGGCGGTCTTTTCCGGACCGCCCGAAAAACCCGCTGTTCGACAGCGGAGTATGCTCTGCACTCAGTTGCCACATGGACTACATGCACACGAAGTACTTGGGGCTGGATCCTCTGGGATTCGGGAGTGTGCTGAGCTTGCTCGTCAACTTCGTGTTGCCCGACTCACCTCTCGCGAATTTGCGATGTGTGTGGGAGCACCTGCTCAGCTCCTACAAAGCCTTGAAAATCGTGGAAAGGTTCAGGGGCATGAGAAAGCTCAGTCTTTTTCAGAGGAAGAAGCTCCCGCCGAAACTCAAGGGGAGAGCCATGCAGATCCAGGCTCTGGGGGAACCACTACTCCTCTGCTGGCAGAATTTCATGAACAAAGACCTCGAAATTCACCTCAAGATCGAGAACTACTTGAAGGTGAATCTAGCCCTCGAGAAGATCCTGCATGCTACGAGGACGGAGATGGCCATGCCTCCAGACCATGCGGAGAAGTTCAAGAAATTGGCTTTCGGGCTCTGCCAGCTGCACCGACAGCTGCGGGAACACTTTGAAGGAAACTACTTCGCAGACCTCCCGAAGATGCATTTCTTCTTGCATGCCTGCCTTTTGGCAGATGTGCTGCATCCCCGGCTCACATGGTGCTTCAAAGGAGAGGATCTTCAGAAGATCTCTCGAACCTTGGCTGGCTCCTGCTGCCGGGCTGTGACCGGCCCTCGGGCTGCGGCAAAAATGTCGCAGCAGCTCCGCATAGCTTGGCACTTGCGGCTGGACAGGCTTTGTGGAGAGTGAGGAAAAAATGTCCTCGCGAGTCAATGCTGTGGGTTTAGGGCTCCTAGATTTTCAGGTCCAAGGTATAGGGTCTAGGGCAAACTTTTCACGAGTGTTTAATGGACCGTGCTGATTTCCTCGGTATCAAACGAGTTAACATTTCAAGAAAATCTTTCAACACGGATCGGTTTTCAACACATTTCCCTATTCGCACACGTGTTTTTTCTAAGCAAGACTGACTTTGTTCTGTATGGATTTCCGATGATTTTTTGGTTTCCAACATATGCGAAAATATCCTATATTCTACCATATAACCTGTTTTTGCATAGTCTATTTACCAAATAACCGGAAAAATAGACTATGAAACAAGAGCGAAATAGTCTATTTAAAATAGTATATTTCCAGGTAAAATAAACTATTTTGCCAAATAGGATATATGTCCCAAAATAGCCTAACCTGATCTTAGAGGTACAGCCCCCTCAACTTAACTAACCAATATACATGCGAGACGCCAGCCTGCAGAAGGTTGGTTCGAGTGCCTTCGGTCACAGACCGGACTTGCCTTTCGGCAATCGCATTTGACTGATGCAAGTAGGCCTTAGACTTCTCATGACGCCACTTCATGGTTTTCGCAGCAGTCTTGAGTTCAGGAGCGCGATCACTGTAGAAATTCTTCACTTCGTCCTTTGGAGATGTGAAGTGCTGAAGTGCAACAGTGCATTCTTCAGCTGACTTGAGAGCTGAGGGGTAGGCATAGCAAAAGCCTGTTGCAACGTCCTTAATCACCAGCGCCAGCCGGGAGTCCTCTATGATGGTGTCCTTGTCCCGATAGAGCACGATGTGGTCTGCTGTAACGTGGTCACCAAAGTCTTTGGCTTCAATAGTACGCACCCCTCCCGTCGCATATGAAGGAGGTTTGTACATCTTAGCCCTTTGACAAATATCACAGAACGGATTCTTCGGCTGATGCGACATCATATGATGCAGCGACTTAGCTTCAGCTTTCAGGACTTCTATACCCCGTTTTCTCTTCTTCCCATCGCCCTCGGAATCCCCATCTGGGGCGACAGCGGCTCCGTCAGAAGCGCGAGCTGCACCCGGATCATCCTTAGGCATGTCTTCCAGATCAGAACCTTCCTCCTCGAGGATGCGATTGAGGTAATCCATATCGTCTTCGTCATCATGACCACTTCCTTTCGATGTAGGCGGAGGATCAGGTTCTTTGGGTGGTTCAACTTTCTTTTCTTTTTCAGGCTTACCCTTAGTCTTGACCTTGGGCTTTGCACGTAGTTCAACCCCTTTCTCAACTGGAGGTGTTCCGGCAACAAGGTCATACAAGGACGTTTCCTCATCACCGGGTTCGATCAAAGACGGAGCTGAGACCTTAGATGGCACGTTGAAACCATACTCTCTAAGTCTCGCAAGCTGTGTAGCATCAAGCTTGTGCACAGCACGATTCACGTATGATGTGATGCTCCATCTGTCACCCTTCCAGGGACGGACGCAGTGGTACGTCTTGGGATCAAACGTAATCATACGATGCTTGGACTTGTGAACTTTGCCTTTCAGCTTATTGCCGTCAGGCGTGCGAACAGAAGCATAATCTTTGTTCTCCCTGCTGATTTCTTCATCATGAATCCAAAGTTCGCCTCCTTCGAAGTCACCCAAACACATAGTGTTGTTCTTATGTTCACGATGATTGTGAGCATCTTTGTGCACCTTGACGCTGGACCCGTGATTAATGCACAGTGAAGAGCTGGGGCCCTTGGCACCATGATGTTTCAGATACTCATTGAGGAACTTCATTAGCTCCTTATTTTGGTGACTGCGGTTAGTGATGCCTTGCATCCCGCCGTGCGAGAAGGCTCCGAGCACAACATACTCGGACTTCTTAGAGGACTTTGGGTTCTTGGCGATGATAGACCTCTGCTTCTTAGAGGCCTTGAAAGCTACCTTGTTTAACAAGGAGTAACATGACGCATGTGAGAAGTCGCCAGACTCTCGAAGCTTCTTTGCGATAGCCTCGGATGATTCTTCCGGCGCTGGCCTTCCGGCCGCGGAGGGGCTTTCAATGATCTGCGTCTTACCAGGACCGGACGAGGCCCGACGCGCAGGGACGCTGATGTTTTCGTGCCAGGACTTCAGGTACGGCACATTATCTTTAACGTCCATATAGACCTTCTTCCCTTCGGGAGTCTTAAGGTACGGTCGTGAATTAGCCCTCCAGATGAAATCGAATCCCTCTTCCATGCATCGCTGTCCTATTGAAAGGACAGATGGGGTATCAGGAAGAACATATGGTTTGACCTCAATCCCAATGGAGTCAACAGAAACATCACACTGTTCTGAAGCGGAGTTTGGCCCATTTGCAGTCATCATTTGAATGGGCGCAGGTGACTCGTAGGCCTTCGCCTGCCCAAGCTCCCGCTGGGCGATGAGATCTTGCGCACTGCCAGTGTCAGCAATCCATTCAATGCACAGACATGGTGATTTGCTGCTGGCGGGTGCGGCACAGTTGAACTTCAAACCAATCGGAATGCAATGCTTGCATCCAAACTCAGTGTTGCACTTGAACTTACACTGCGGTCTACAGCCCTTGACCTCATCACTGACAACAGCTTGCAACATCTTAGCGGTTACCTGAGCTTCCTTCACGGAATCGGGATCGGCTTTCCAATGGCTGTTGGCGGGATATACTTGGCTATACTCCCTTGGCTTATTGCGATCATCGAGGGGGTAGAGGCCATTCCCTTTCGGAATTTGGTACGTGAAACTTTCAGTAGTGTCATTGAATGACACTGCGGCCAGTGCGACATGATAGTGCGGGGTGCAAACATCGACATTGCTCAACATATCCTTCCGGAACGTGAATGCATCGGCTTGGGCTGCTGAGCCAGCCAACATTGCTCCCAATAAGCAAACTGCAGCGGGAACGGAGGGCGCACCACCCTTGCGACCTGAGCCACGCGAACCCTTCGAGCCTTGGCTAGACTTACTTGATTTTCGGCTGCCGCTCTTTGAAGAGCTCTTGGAGCTAGATCTGGAGCCTTTGCGGCCCTTACCACTTTTCTTCTCTTTCTTCTTGTGCTTCTTTTCCTTCTTCTCGCCGCTGCTCGCTCGTGCACCTGAGCTGCCCGGGGCGGCTGCAGCAGGTTGGCCGTTGTGGAGGAAGTTACACTTGTCTCCACGATTGCAAACTCCTTGCTTAAAGAACTTGCATTCCTGCTTTTTGCCTTTACCTTTCCCTCCCGGGCTAGGGGTTCTAGTAGGCGTACGACCTCCGGCAGGAGTGTGAGAACGCCCCCTAGGTTGTTGGTGCTTGTACGGGCACATGTCTCTCTTGCAACTTCCGGTCTTGACCCAATCGACGCAATACCCTTTGGGAATACGCTTAGGGGCCGGTGCGGCAGCAGGCGCAGTAGGTACACCTGTTTGCCGAGCAATGCGCTCGCGGTTCTTCTGCAATCGCTTGCGTTTCAAATGATTAGCAACCGCGTTATACAGGAACTGATAGGACCTTTGCTCGCTACCTTCCAGTGCGCGTTCATAGACCTGGATGTCGTGATCGATATCCTTGCACTTCTTCACCTGTCTATGGAACAGGGGTTCAAGCACGCTGTTGTCTGGAGGATTGGGAATCCCTGATAGCACCGTATCCCAATTTCTAATGAAGGTGGTGAGGTTTTCGTTGACCATGATGCAATTCATCAGGTCCTCCATGTCATACACAGAGCCATGGAGTGCATTGGTAGCAAAGTGGTTGTGAAGACGACACAGCAACTGTCTTCCTCTCACCAGCCTTCCGGCGTGAGCTTCGGTCTCCTTGAAGGTATCAGTCTGCCTAGCGAAATCACCCTCAAGGATATTGGTGAGCCCAGAAAGGATCTTGGCATCCAAGGTGCTAAACCCCTCCGGGTCGCGAAGCTCTTTCTCGTCGGCGTCCTTCTCCCAGACCTTACTGAGCCAGGCATGCGCCTTGTCAGGCGAATCCGATGCAGCGACAATGGCTTCACGGACCCTTATGCGCCAGTTTCTATACTGCTCAGGCTGGGGAAACTTGGGAAACACGACTTTCTCAGCCTCTTTAACCTTGGGTTTGGTACTCGAGGAACCCTTTTCTTCATCATCATCCTCTTTATCAGACTTCTTAGATTTCACCATCTTCTTGAGCATCTTCAGAAGAATCTTGTTGTCAATGGAAGAAGACGATGAATCCGACGACTCATCTTTCTTGTGCTTTTTGGATTTCTTGCTCTTTTTCTCCTTCTTACCGCTCTTTTCAGGCGCTTCAAGTGGTTCGCCAGGAGGAGTATGGATCGGAAAGGGTCCTAGACCAGGAGGCCCGGCCTGTTCCGGTTCATTGCCCAATGGGTCAGCTTTGGCTTCCGCCAAGCGTGTTCTTAGCTCGGCATTGTCCTTTTGCAGCATCTCCATGTTGAGGGCTTGAATCCTCATCATCTCTTGCATCTCACCTTTGAGGCGAGAGAGCTCGTTGTCACGAGCTGACACGTCGGCTTGATTAGCCTGCAACCTTCGATTAGCCTCGGTTTCCACCTGGGCGACAACATTCGCAGCTGTCTGTTCAGCGGATAGGAGGCGCTGCCTTAGCTGCTCAGCTTCAGCAGCGGCTGTTTCAGCCTCAATTTGGTACTGGGCTACGGCCTGCCGACCAGCATGGATGTTTTGATTAGCCTGTTCTTCAAAGGCTCTGGCTTTTGACTGCAACTGTGCATGCTCAAGCCTCAGCTGAGCGACTTGACTCATGGCACCTGTTTCCAAAGCAAGAATTTGCTCCCTGTTTTCGCTTTGGATGTTGCGAACGGCTTCAGCGTGTCTTGCATTTGCTGTATCCATAATCAGTGCAGGATCCGCACTGATCAGAACGTTTTGCTGATGCTGATACAACTGATTCACGACAGTTGGAACGGAGGTGTGCGATGGCGGCACCGGAGAATAGCCTACGACTGTGGGTGAGGGCTGATGTGTCAGCGACGCTCGTGATGGCACGTATGCTGGTTGAG